ATGTGCCCAGCTCCACACCGTGTGCACCTCGCCAGCCCCGCAAAAGGCTGGCAGCTTGCTAATTCCCTCCATGGCCTCATCCTGCAAACATGCAGCCTTGCGAGTGAGGCTTACTCATGGAAACGCTATGCCTGCATTCCAGCAACGAGCGGCTTGAGAGGAACCTGCTCATGGGCACCCGGGGACACAGCTGGCACCGCCGAGCCGCCAGCCTGGCACCTTTCAGAGGGCTCCAGCAGAGCAGCGAGCTCAGCCCTGAGCTCTGATCCCGTGTGCTCTGAAGGACACCCTCTGGCCATGCCCGAGGCCACACTTGCATGTTTTCAGACAACACAGACATGGAATCAAAGAATAACAGAATCATCAAGGTTGGAAAAGACCACTAAGACAGTCTAGTCCAACTATCAGCCCATATACACCATGCCCACTAACTGTGCTTCTGAAAGTAAATGGTTTCAAGCAGCTCTCAGCAGATTGCTGAAATACATGCAGGAGTTTTGCTGAAGCCAGCTTTCCTCTGTGTCCATCTTTGTGTTATGCTTGCTGTCTTTCACTTGGGAAAACTGAGATGCTGCATGTTCCTAAGCCCCCTCCAACTGCCTTCAGGCACTCAAGGTTGAGAGTGGGACACAGAATTATCTCTTGCTAATCATAGCAGTGCCTTGTAAGCTTGCAAAGCTGCAAGATGGTTCATCTGGAAGACTTATGAGGGGTGGTTGAGGGAGCTGGGATTGTTTACTCTGGAGAAGAGGAGGCTCAGGGAAGACCTCATAGCTCTCTGCAGCTCCCTGAAAGGAAGCTGTACGATGTGGAAGTCAGCCTCTCCTCACAGGTAACAGCAATAGAATGAGAGAGAATGGCCTTAACTTGCACCAGGAGAGGATTAGGTTGGATATTAGGAAAAAATTCCCCGCAGAAGAAGTGGTGATACAGTGGCACAGGCTGCCCAGGGAGGTGGTGGAGTCACCGTGCCCGAAGATGTTCAGAAACCATGGAGGTGTGGCACTGAGAGACATAGGTCAGTGGACATGGTGGGAATGGGTTGATGGTTGGACTGTATGGTCTTAGTGGTCTTTTCCAACCTTAAGAATTCTACAGTTCCATGATCTGCTTCTCAGCTTCACATGCCAGACCCTATAGGGCAAGCTTGTATCTGAGTCACAGACCACAAATCATAGGACCACGTGGGGTCTTAGAAGCTGCACCACCTCTCAAGGCACCCAGCTCAGGTGATCCCCATGGGATGCTGTAATTGTGCCTCACAACCCTCCATCCCTGCCTACATCCCACGAAGCAGCCTCCCCTCTGCCGCCAGGTGGTTCTGTGTGTCACATCATATTCTGGAAGAGAAGAAAATGCACAATGTGCTCTTAGAGATAGGACAACAAAAGTTGTTTGCTCGCTTTCAAACCTTTGGGTTTTGAAAGTTTAATCCTTCCCACAGACAAATCCTGCTGGGATTGAGGTTTGTCTCCATCATGGCAGAGCCACCCAGGACATCAGAAATCCCCCAAGGACCACAATGCTTTTGTAAATCTTCAGGAAGTGCCTGCTGTGAACCCCCAAGTAGCCCCAGCCACATCGGTACTGCAGCGCCTACATGCACCTAATGCTTTCCAGACTCCTTTAGTTTGACTGATGCGTGTTTTGACATCTCAGAGAAAACATTTTGCAAGATGCACAGTCAAAGGCTCTTTCAAGCTGAGATGTCCGTGAAAAGCTGCACGAGCACTCCAAGGCTCAGTGCCTCTCTCTGTCAGCTGCTCTAATGAAAGCTCCCTGTGCAGACCAGAGGACAGAGCAGAGAGTGATACATTCCTTTAAATAGCATCCTAGCTGGCTTAGGGAGCCCAGGAACATTTTAACTCACTTATAATTATCCTGTGGTTCAAACCCATTTTTCTGTTCTGGGCACCAAGAGATGGGAAATCTTTAACGTGACATTAGCTCATGCACAACTGCCCAGAGAGCACCTGTGTTTGTGTCCTTACCACGCAATATTGCACGCTACACAGGACCTACTGCACATCGTGCTGCTCAGGACTTAATTACTTGAAGCAATTGGCACTGAGGTCAGCAAAGGAGGTTTTATTCAGACAGAGCCTGATCTCAGTGCAGTGATGGCTTCCATAACACACAGTGCTGGCCAGAAAATTCTCACAAGCATCTTCCATGTGATGTTTTTCCAGAGGCAAAGCCAGCTACAGAGGGCCATGCGTGTCCTGTCCTTCAGCCCCATGCAACTGTCTGTGAACAGCTCAGGGAAAGACTCAAACACTCGGGGCCAAAGTGGGGGAACTGAAATAATTGAAATTTTAAGCCTAGTTGGAGCCCATGTGCAGCACGACCCATAAGGAATTGTTTTGGCATGGCAGCAGGACAGCAAATTGGCAGGAAAAAGGCTGGGGCTCAAGAACATTGGGAATCACAGAATGGCTTAGGTTGGAAGGGACCTTAAAGACCATCCAGTGCCAACCCCCTGACGTGGGCTGGTTGCTACTCACCAGAACAGGCTGCCCAGGGCCCCATCCAACCCAGCCTTGAACGCTCCCAAGGATGGGGCATCTCCCTTAAAGCAACTTCACTCCAGGAAGAACTTGAATAGAGGGCTTTCCCTAGGATGCGTGGAAGGAGCAACACTAGGACACTGCTGAGAGTTTCAGGGTTTCTGTACAGGAAGAATTATTTCAAATAATTCCCGGCCTCTCACCCCATAGGAGGTTTTGAATGAAAATTTCAGATTCACAAGCAACAAGACTCCAGCTTAAATTTAAAAAAGAAAAAGAAAAAAATTGTTTAGGGAAAAAATATCAGAATATCTTCCCCTTTTGTGAGCCAAATGGTATCAACCAGCAGTAAAATAAGTGTCCCATGTTTTCCATTTTAGGAATGATCTCTAAATTTTTTCTGGTATCATTTTTTCCTAACAAAGGAAGCATGTTTTCCTTTCTGCACCTCTACAAAAAGACATCTTAAAGAACCCATCTCACCATGGCCCTATTTGTTTCCTAGTCTACAAGTTTTGTATCCCAGAGGTCTATAAGGAATACATTCAAGTTAATAATAAATTATTAGAAAAAAATTGCATCCTTACGAGCTGCTGTGTGACAAGTGGATAGCGCGTGCTTCACTCAGTTGGGAAGATCACAGAATCATAAAATCACTAATGTTGGAAAGACCACTAAGATCATCTAAGTCAACCACCAACCCATCCCCAATATATCACTAAACAATGTCATTTAATGCAACAACTCCATTTTTCTTGAAAACCCCCAGGGTTGGTGACTCCACCACCTCCCCAGGCAGCTTGATTTGGTTTGTCCATAAGTCTTTACCTTGACAGAAAAGAAAATCCTTATGTTTGCTTCACAAGGAGAAACGTGGGCCAAAATCTCCTTTCCTGATTTATTTCCAGAGTTTAGGAATGGGGTAATTTGCACTGAGGAACCATTTTTTGGGGTTCCTTAGACCCGCAGCACAACCCACTTTGATAGAAACTCATTTCTATGGAGTACAAAGAGAGGCCACTGAAACAGCTTTTCACAGAGCTGCTTCCACACCCCAGCTGCAGCCACGCTAAAAAGGACTCTGGGTTTTAATCAAAGTATTTCAGCTCTTCTGACGACAGTGAGGACAGGTGGCATTTCTCCACTTTCCAAACTGGAATTGCAGCAGCCACAGCTTTCTGCTTTGTAAAGCAGTCCTTCTGTCACTTTTCAATAGGGTGAGAATCGTGTTAGGGCACTAGCAGAGCACAGTGAGGACTGGGACACGCTGGCAGCACGCTGCCTCCAGGTCTTCTACATCCTACAGCACTACAGAAAGCTGTGTCCAGCTTGGACCTCACTTACAGATGTCTGCAGTGACAGCAGTGGGCACATCTGCCTTTGTCTTTCTGTTCTGGATATGCCTGTGTCAAAGTCCATATCAAGGGTAACTCTGTGCTTGAGAATAAGTCACACAAAAGGCATGATGAAGGCTCTTGGAGGGATGCAAACAAGCTAGATTAGGTACCAAGTGTTTTGACCATTCCTGCCTCATTCCCACAAATTACAGGCAGATCACAACTACGTAGCTCCAAGCCTTGCAGAGAAAGCTTCCATTCATCCCCATTCTTCCAGATCCTTCCTCACCTTCCACAGGAGACTGTGTATTTATTAGGAGGAATTTCTTCCCAGAAAGCGTGTTAATGCATTGGCACAGGCTGCCCAGGAAGGTGATGGAGACACCATCCCTGGAGGCGTTCAAGAAACATGGAGATGTGGCACTGAGGGACATGGTTAAGTGGGCATGGTAGGGATGGGTTGATGGTTGTACTGGATGTGATCTTTTACAACCATAAGGATTCAATGTTTCTAGGATTCTATCATTCACTCATTTATTTCTCCTCCCATCTTACCATTACCAGTAGGTCTTGTAACCAGGAAAGGGAGCTTTTTATCATGGAAAGGAGACTCTTGTCCCAGCAAAGCCTGAATAGTCATTTCTTCTCAGGAGGGAATCGTGCCAAGCCAATGCAGAGACACATTTGTTTAGTTTGGGTATCACTTCAGGGCACCGCATACAGACCCACATCATCCACCCCCCAACCCATAGATGACCTCAGTCAGCGATGGCCCTGTTTTAATGCACATAACAGAAAAATCACTTCAGGAACACATGCAACAGATTCCCTGCATATTAGTTTATCACTGAAAGCAGCTATTTTTGGACACGTCTTCCATGGAGAGTCCATCACAGAGAAACTGACCTGAGGTCAGAGTTATAAAGCATTCCTCGCTGCCGTTTCTATTACCAAATCATTCTCAGAAATACACTAAATTAAAGATCTACTTGGCATTCACACCCAACCCATAGACCTTTCCACCCAACTACCACTCTTGTCCTCTACCCCTGCAGTGTCCCAACCAACTTATTCAACATGGGAATACCAGGGAAGCTGGAGGGAGAGGAGGAGCAGCACATGGTGGTCCTGTCACTCTGGGCATGACCCCAAATGATGTCTATACCTGCAGAGGTCCCAGCTGGGGACCCACCAGGCTATGCTACCCCCAGCTGCTCAGCCGCAGCAGCTTGCAGCCTGGCAAATTAAGTATTCAGCAACCACTAAGCTCACAAATAGACAGTAGGCGCCAGAATCCTCAGCTGGGGCTCCTTGGACTACACTGGCTTTACGCTGATTTAAGCCAGCTGAGGATCCGCACCACTGGGCCAAGTCCTGCTGGCCTACCTCAAGCTGATGGCTAGTTGATGTGACTTATGACTAAGATTTCCACTTAGCCTAACTCAAAGCATGAGCAGTGCTTATGTAGTGCTACCATTGTTGATTCCAGCCTTTTGTCTCAGGATGTAACCGATAGGCCTAATAACAGAAATCATGCTGCATGCATTCATTCACCCTCTTCGCAAGCAGCGTGTTATTGAGCTCAGTGGTGAAAAGGCATGCACAAACACAATGGGGCTGGGATTAAGCCCAGCTGCATTACCAAAGTAAATACTTTTGCTGCTGACAGTTTGTCTGTAGGGATTTGGAGAAAAGTTTTGTGCATCTACTTAGGCAACATATGGTTTTATTTTCCTTGTTAACAAAAACAGTAGTGGTCAAAAGTCAACACCCTCTGATGACTGCTCAGTGGCCGATGTGGAATGGACTTGGTGGTCCAGTTTCTTACACATCCACATTAAAATGATTCTTTTCCTGCATTCTTCTCTCACTTGGCATTGGGGTTTATAGTCCCCACAAGGAAGCAAAGGGGTTTTAGGTTAATCTCATCTGTCCTCCTTTTTGACTGAAAGCCATCAGTGGTGTGGTTTGGGTTAAGATGCTTTGCTAGCTTCCTTAATTCCCCCTGTGATGAAAGCCCCTCCACAATCTGTTTCTCTGAAGCCTGAAGAGAATCAGAATTAATCCTCATTAGCCAATGACGGAGACATGCCAGCTAAGTCAGACTTCTAAAGCAAACACAGCACTGATGAGGGTGAGTATCATGCCAAGAGCACAAATGGTCTGAATTTAGCCCTTCATCCCCAGCTGAACACGTATGGTTCTCCAAAGGTCTCTGCAGTACTCAACCAACAGCTGGTCACCTTCACATCTGAAATGAAGAAAATCCACAAAGACTTGGCTGTATATATGGTGATGATTTCAGTGGGGCAGAAGAGGGCAAAAAGTTAGCTGAGCTTCCATGGGCATCCATCTCTCATAGCTCCAATGAAGTTATAAGTACATACTGGTACCCAGCATCACTGGGAAGGAAAAAAAAAAGAATTGCTATCAAGCCTCCCACAGCTGATTCGCTTCAAAGATTTTAAAGCTCTAAAGGTGTAAACAGGTCTTGTCTACACTGAGGTAATGAGAGTTACATATGGCAACTAGTGCTCAACAGCTAACACTCAGCATCTGCAAGGTCAGTGAACTTGAGCACTGCAAAGGAGTGTTAACTAGACCCAACACATGAAGTAATTGTTTTTAAGGGAGAGCATCCAAGCTGGAACACAGCAGTGTAGAACATGTACACTAAGACAGGTGTAATCCCAGGCACAGTGGGTGGGAAGGAAGGCTGGAAAAATCACAATTAAGAAGCCAAGATGTGTTGTGTAATCCCAATGCCCTTGCCAATACAAAGGTAGTTTTACTGAGGGACAGATCCTGTCGATGCCCAGCTATCCCACATTATGTTTACCATCCTGAGGATGCTGCTGACATTTCTGGAAGCTGAAGGTCCAAATTATTTTACAGGGGATGCTCAAACCTGCCCAGAGACAGCCCACAATGGGCAGGCAGCCAGTGCTGGAGGAGCTCAGCCAAAAAAAGATGCTGCAGCTCAGGTTGACACACAAAGGGAGCTCACAAACAGCCCGTCCTAATCCCACGCTCATGCTCACTATCCATGGAGGAGAAGGGTAAAGTCAAAAATTGTTTCTGTTCCTACGAGAGAAAATTGGTGACAACAAAACTTATTGTAACACCTTTTTTCTTCTTTCCCCTCCCCTCTGCAGAAGTTTGGGAGTTTTCATTGAAAAAGTAAAAACTGAAAAATGTTTGGTTTCTGGCAATCAAAAACTGGAAACTTTTGGGCCACAAACCAAAACTATTTGGGGTTTCTGATTTTTGGTTTTGTTTTGGGATTTTGCCAAGCTCCTTAGCTTTCCATTGCCAAAAAACTACACATTTTTCAAGCTTTTTCCTTCTCAATGAAAGCCCCAAAGTTGTTGTTGAAATTGGACATTTCCCACAGAAAATTTTTGATATTATAAGAAAAAAATAAGAGGCATTTTCAGCAGAAAGAATGTTTTGACTGAACAATTTCATCCAGCTCTGTAAATACATCCCTTCGAGGGACCATCACATCTTCTCTTTCACCTTCTCTCCCCAGATGGCTTTTCTTTCACATATGGGACCTCAGGGCTGTGACCAGGGTCTTGGCCATCCCACATCCAACCTTCATGGCCCTCCTGGGGACAGATAGGTCTCAAGTAGTTGTGTCTTCTGCTTTTCCTATGAAGTACCAGTACCAACTATCACTGCAGATATTAGGCTACACAGCAAAAAAATAAAAGATACCCAGAGTAGATTCAGCAGATCTTGTTTGGACCACGCAGCCCACATTTGATCCTGTGATTCTGGGAGATTAAGGTGTTCTCCAAAATACCTAAATATCATTTACCCACAGTTCAATTGGAGCCGCTGGCCCTGAGTCCCAAATGTGCCCCACAAAGCACGTGGCTGATACTGACTGTACTAATATTCAATATTTGCATGCAAGATGTGAATATTACATGTAAATAAAGAAGAAAAAAAATAACAAAGTACTAGCAATTAAAAATGAAAAACTTTCAGGCTTCTCTACCCCAAGCACCAAATCAGAGATGGTGTTTGCACCTCATTCCCAGGGATAATGCTGACCAAAAGCTGAAACCAGAAACTGCATGAATGAGGGGGAAATTTCAGCTGGAATCTGAGTTCCAGAACGTAGACTACACTTTTATGAGGTGGATCCAAACTACAATAACAAATCTCAGCTTCCTGAAGCTCTGGGCAAACATGAATTTGGATCAGGATTTGAATTTCCCTTTTCCAACCAATCCTCCACTAAAATGGCAATTCTTTGCCCAGATAAAACTAAGATATCTTGGAGTCTTAATAACTAAGTGGAGCCATCTTACAGCTGTTTTATTTTTTCCTGGAAATAGCCTCTTTTCTTGCTTTCAGGGATGTTTTCCTTGACTGGGACAGTGATCTAGATATTTGATGTCCCTGAATGTGCCACAATTACTATAGAGAAGGTCAGAAGAACTGCAACCAACAAAGGGAGGATGACTATGCATATCAATGGCAAGTGAGAGCATGCCAGGAGGAAAAGGAAAGATCCCCATATTTAGGGAGAAATGGAGTTGCCACACAGCAAAAATGCTGGCCTGGAAGAACTTGAGCATGGCATTTGGAGGCATTAACCAGGGTGAGACAGGAAGAGGTAGATTTGGGCAGGTTGGGTCAGGGAAGAAATAAAGGACTGAAGAAAGAAAAAAAAAAGAAGGACAAAAATGTGCATCTTTCCTTTACGAGAAGAAGAGGCAATGCAGTGGCTCTGGATGAGCAGAAAGACAAACATGGAAAGAGTGGTGGTGTTAGATAGCCACTAGCTGCAGGTATTCAGGATAGCAGTATATTAAGAAAAAAATGAGCTTGGATATTAGGAAAAATTTATGCTCTGAAAGAGTCATCAACCTTTGCAACAGGCTGCCCAGAGAGGTGGTAGCATCACTTTCTCTGGAGATATTCAAGAAACATGGAAGCGTGGCACTGAGGGACATGGTTAGTGAGTGGACTAGGTGACTTTAGAAGAGTAGGTCAGTAAGATTGGAAAAGATCTCTATGATTCTATGAGGAAGACAGGGCCTGTCAAGGGCTGGGGACAGGATGGGAACAAGAGGAAGGTCTGATGGACTTCTGGGGAGCAGATGAAGAGGGCTGGGTGGTCAGTGAGGAAGAGGAGCAGGTGAGGTTTCTCTTTTGGGGACAGACATTTGTATCTCACGCTATTTTATTATTATTTTTTTTTTAATCTTCTCTCAATAAAGCTTATTGAAGCCTTGTCATGGTGAGATGCTGCCTGTCAGCTGAGACGTGGCTCACAGGGCTGTGCTCTAAGCCCAAGGTGAGCAAGGGGGAACACATTAGTTTAAATCTCTGCAAAATTTCTCCCAGGGGAAGTAAGTTGAAAACACAGGTACTGCTATTCACCTCACTACTAAGTTGTGCAGCTGAACTCTTCACACCTTTAATAAAAGCCTAGAAACAAAACATCAGCATGAATTAGTTTTAGAAGCAGAACAGATAGCATGAAAGGCAAGCCAAAAGCCCCATCAGCAGAGGGGTGGGTGAATTGCCATACAGCCCTGGGAGAGAAGGAGACATTCATATTTCTTTAATCTACTTTGAACTCCAGCATCCTTACGATAAACCATGCCCCAGCAGCGGATGTTATTTAGATTGTCTTTACAAACTCAAGAAGAGAAACTGAGGCAGGGCTGAGCTTTGACAGCCAGCTGCATAAACTCCCTTCATAGATTTTTTTACTGGGACTTCTTTCATCCATCTTGTACTCACATAGTTAAGAGGATCTAGGAAGCAGCAATTCCTCTGCTTTCCAAAGCAGTTACTCAGGAAAGGACTAATTAAGTGGCGGTGTTATTACAGCAGGTCCTCAAGTCTCCAAACACAACCAGTGGCGATTAGCCAGGCGTCAGCTACTGGGCGGGATTTCCCACTGCCCAGCTGTGTAATTATCATGGCAGCTAAGCCAAAATCATTTGACAAAGAAAACCAGCTGCAGGCTGTGGGTCTGGGAGATGATAGCACACATCCAGCTGAGAGAGAAACAATAACATCTTCCCCTCTGTATTTTCCCAAAAGATCAATTAGGATGGGCATGCTACATTTCCGCAGGGGAGCAGATAGAAATATTGATTTCTGGGGAGCATGCAGAATAAGCAGCAGGAGAAGAATAAGGCTTACTGCAATTTCAGTGGAGAATTGAACATTCACTGCCATCTTCCTTGCATCACAGCACAGAGGTGGCAGGTGGAGTCTGCTTAGGCAGGGCAGACAGAAGCTCTGCTACACTGACTTGAAGTCTGGACCCTGTTCTACAGCATCCTCCATGCAGAGAGTCTGAGGTTGTCTTTAACATCCCCCACAAAGCATTGCACTGGAGTCTGAGCAATGGAAAACTTTGGGTTTGTTCCCTGAAAGCAGATTTCTGCTGCCTATGATGTTGCGTAACCTCCCGCCTCAGTTTCCCCCCCCCGTACAAGAGAATGGCAGCTGTGTTCACTACCTCACCAGTTATCTCAGACCATCATGTGATGCCTTCCAGCAAACTGGGCAGAGCCTGCTCACAGCTCGATGGCTTTCTTCTGCTTCTCTGAACCACCAGATGCACTTTCAAGAGATATCTTACCTTTTGACGGTTAAAAGGCTTTTGAGTACGTACAAAATGGTTGTTTGCATTCTGCCAGTGATGGGTGGTGCGCAGGGAGGAGTAAGGAGACAAATAGGAAAGAGATAAACTGGGCTGCCAGCACATCTGAGAGAGGAACTGGGGTTACTTACTAGTGTAGCAAGACAAATGCAGGTTAAGGGAAGAGACTATGTGGGGTGGTTGCAACCAAGTAAAACAGCATGAGCATCAGCACAGTGTTATCTCCAGTCCCATTCCTTGCCAGGTCCAGCTGACCTGCACACTTTCCTTGAGAGCACGTGCCCTAGCACATCATAGCATGACACAGATCCACGAACTGCATTTCCAACATTTGAGGATGGCCAGGGCTGCAGTTGGGACTCACCTAGGCCTCCTAACACAAAGAATGGTGTGAAAGGCTTGGCAAATAAGGACAAGTAGGAAAGACAGCATTTTCCAGCATAGAAATAGATACCTTTGTAATACTATCTATATGTAGTTGTTTCTGTCCAATTTCAAACCATAGAATCCTTAAAGTTAGGATATACCTCTAAGACCATCTAGTCCAACCATCAACCCATCCCCACTACACCACATGCATCAGCACCATTATCTCCACTTTCCTCAAACACCCCCAGGGATGGTCACACCACCACTTTCCTGGGCAGCCTGTTCCAATGCCTTAATCATCAGCCAACATAATCTCTTTGCTCTCATCCAAATTTATTTAGAGCAATCCTATCCTTTGCTACAAACAAGCTGTTTGGAGCCTTCAGGCAGAGAAATAGATCTCATTTAACCCATCGCATGTGGAAAGTCATCACTTTCACGAAGGTCCCAGCCTCAGCCTCTAAGTACGTCCTCAAATCTGCCAGCCATTGGTAAATGCCTTCTCAGAGGGCCCTTCAACCTACAGATCCGTTTGCACTTAAATTGCCCAACACACAGCACTTGGCCTAGATGAGTAACGAAGTGTGTGACCTTCCAGTGATCAAGCATTGCTAATATCTCAACAATTTCAAACGTTTAATAACTTAATTTAATGCAGTAAGAATGATGCGATTGAATGCACAATATCTGTAGCAGTTAATTAACCACAGTAGCCCAGAGAGGTCTTGGATTTCATACAACCTTTCAATATAATTACAAATTTTTAACAGCAAAATGAATTTAAATCCAGCCTGACACAGCAATCCATCTTCATCTCCAGATAAAAGGTAGCACATGCAGAATTAACATTTGAACAAAAGCCACGGGCAATGGAGAGAGACAAGGAGCATTAGCAGATGTGCAGAATGAATTACTATTAGTGCTGTGAAAGGGGAGGACTGGAAGAGAATATTGCATTGTATAGGTTGGATGTATGACATAGCTGCTCACTTTTCTGGCATTACATGTAATACACAAGTTTAGGCTTTATATATAATAGAGTTTAAATTGAGTTTATGCTTTATGGCAGGAATAGTGCTGAGCCATTTAGGTCAATCTACATCTCTACACTTGGAGGACCAAGTGTGTTCTGACCAACTCATCCTTCTCCAACAAGGCAGCATCCTGCACTCTGGCAGGCAAAACAAACATACCTGCTTTCATCTCTCAGCAAAATGAGTTCAGACACGACAACCTCCTACTCTCTGCTGAGATAGGTGTAATGCTGTAATGTGATGGAAAGTACAGCAATAATAGCATCGTAGTAGGCTGCAGCAAATGAGAACAAGCCCAAACAAAGCAACTGTGAGTACAGAAACAAAAGAAGAAAAACTGCTTACCTACAGAAGACCTCTTGTAGGCTGGGATCTCCAGTAAGACACTCTTGCCTCCACTGCCAACCCTTAAATGAGGTCTGGGAAGGGCTGGATCCTGGCTCCACCCCTTGTGGTCACTCAGTGCATTGCTTGCACCTGAGCTCCCCTGAATTGGCCCTGCCTTTCCACCAGGTGCTCAACTGCTCAACCACTGGTTCAAGCTGTGACTTAGCATTTCCACTATGGAAGGCAAGAAAATGCTGTTCTCATACCCACCCTGTATGTGCCATAGAACCTTCTTCCCTCCTGGTAAGCCACCCCAGGAGCCTCTCCTGGAACTTCTCTCCATCTCACTGGACATAGGTTATGTCCTGCAGCTTGCAGGGGCATGAGCATTTGAATGTGTAGTCTTTGGGATCATTAAGGTTGGAAAGACCAATAAGAACATCTAGTCCAACAATCAACCCATGCCTGTGTCTGCTCATGTCATTCAATACAACATTAACCCTTTTCTCAAACACCTCCAGGAGCAGTGACTCCACCACCTTCCTGAGCAGCCTGTTCCAATGTATCACCACTCTGAGAAGAAATTTTTCCTAATATCCAACCTGAACCTCTCCTGAAGTAGTTCAGGGCTGTTGGAAATATCTGTTCCTCTGCTGGCTGTAAAACACATCAGATGTATGATTCAGGAAGAGAATAGGTTTGGGCCTATCCTACAGGCAGAACATCTCTGTGCACAAAACTGTTGTTGGTATTAATGAATGTAATGTGACCTGGAGCCATTTCCCTGCCATTCAGTAATATCTGACCTCAAAAACTAAAAAAATTATGAGACACTTTCCAGATGCCTCCAAAGTAATAATTACAACAAGGGAAAAATATATTTGGAGTTCTCATTTGCATTTGCCTTCTTGGTTTGAGCCTTTCACATTGAGAGCCTCTCCTCAGAGCCATGAAGGCAAGAAGCAGATTTTAAGTAAAAGGTGAAATTTCTCTTCCAGCAAGTAACAGCCTGCCTACAGCTGCCTGCTCAAAGCATTTTAAGCCTCTCTGGAGCCTGTGCTAGTATAAAGTCAGCATGGTTAAATTCTGTGGAAGTGCTCCCAATTCACACTGGTGGAAATAAGAACAGGATCAGACTGACAGTAAAACAGATAAAAACACAATGAGAATAAATTACAGATGTCCCGTGATCATGATAGTAAGTAGTATTAGTGGACATTAGGAGCTCTAAATAAAGATAGCTGTTTGTTTTTGCTGTTAAGAACCTTACAGATTCCTACTTAGCTTGTATCTAACAAAGACCTTTTTTTCTCCAACAGTTTGTGAAACATTTCTATAAATCTGTCCCATGTAGAGCTTTAATTGCTGAGTTCAAACCAAGCTGACTCTGCCAAATGTGATAGCATCAGCTGGTGGCGTCATTTGTCATTGTTACAAGCAAATAAACCAGTGAGTTAATCAAAGGGGATGAAAAATGAGGTGGCTTCATTTTCTGGAGTTCTTAATCCAATTCCTTCTCCTTTCTTCTCACCAGTCTACACCAAAATGCCAAGAGAACCAGCTGGCCAAAAGGCACTCATTCAAAAATCTTTTGTAGACAACACATAGCCACATTCTCAGTTGATAAAATCAAGGACAAACAGGCAGAGACAATAGTAAGTAGAAGGCAAAGAGGAAAAAATACACTTTCTGGACAGTGCAGCAAAAGCAGATAAGCCGATATGCAGTCACTGTAAGACTGCACAGCAGCCCAAGGTCCTTCCCAGCCCTCCTTATCAGACTGACATAGAATTTCTGTTAAGCACCAGAGTGAGGAAGCCTACAGTTTCAAAACTGCTGGATCAAGAAAGCAGGGATCGAAATCTGAATGAGTCCGAGCGTTTGGGAACCATGTTTCTCAGCAGTGTATTGCCTGGAAGCTCAGCTTTGGGCTCCTGCTAATCCCATGCAGATCCCAGGCATGAGGTGCCCCTCTCTTGCAGACACAAATAGGGGATCATTGCTGGCAAGTCTTTGTTCCGGTCTTTATAAGCCACAAAATAATTGAGAACATTATAATCAAAATGATGAAAATTTGCTCTGCTTGAGCCTGGAGGTGTTTGTGGGGGAAGCCTTCCCTGCATTCTTGTAATGGCCAGCACAAAGGGCATTCAGCATTTGCGGGGATGGACTTGAATCAGAACCTAAAAACCTTGCAACATTTGAGGGAAGGGAAGCAAAACACACAAGCAAACAAACAAAAAATAGCTAGAGCTTAGATTAATTTCCAGCAATGACAGTTCTGGAATAAAAATCCTGACACTTGCTTGCATTATAGTTTATCTCCTTAATAGCTACCTTTGGTGGAAAGACAGGAATTGTTTACCCAACAGAAACTTATTGCATTTCATACAGTAACTCAAACTGATGAGTAAGCTCCATATTTCTTAAAGGATTAAGTCAAAGAGTTTGCTTATTCTGATTTTTTTTTCTGCCCTAAACCACTGCGAGGAAATGATGTGACCAACACTCCAATGGAAGTCTGTGGAGATGTACATGCACTCACAAAAGACCAAAGTGCTGTGTTCAGTGTTGGAGCTGCTCCGAACCTTTTAGAACTCCTAAGTGAGCATATGAACTGAAACATCTACACCTTAAAATTTCCAATATCTACCATATAGCTGACTCTAGGACAGAGCCCAGGTCTTCCAAGACTATGGCCAGCACCAAAAAGATCATCTCTCCTCAGGCAACTTCCCATAGTTTATTTTCCCCCTTAATCCGCCTCCCATTAACTCTCTAGCAAAGTCCACTCCGAATCAAAACCCAATAGTCCTGAGCTTACAAATACTTGTAGAGAAGTGGAAGAGTAAGAGCAAAACAATGTTCTGCACAGCTTTTTCTTCATCCTTCACCCAATTGCCTTTACCCCAGTGACAAACAACCTGAAACCTTGCATACATAATGGTTCTCATTCTTCATATCTTTTTCTCTCTTTAAATTTTCTTTAACAATAAAATAACACTTTATTTACCACCCTTTGCCTGAATATTTTTTCAAACAGCATCAGAATAGAAAAAGGTGAGGACTAAATAGTTCTCCACAGCCAACTCCTTTCAACACCATCACATTCAGAGAAGAGCAGATCTGGTAGCACCCAGATGTTGCTCTCCTGGTTAATGGGCCAGATAGGGCAAGCTGAGTTACTAAGCTTCATGTTTTGGATGAAAGAGGAAAAAAGCTGTTCTCTTTCCTATAATATGTGGAATACCTCATTCAATAGGTGTGAAAGAGGTGGGGATAACAATGTGATATTCCCTTCACTGACAGCTCTCACAGGTTGAAGGATTTATGTATTTTCACCAGAAAAGTAAATGGAGACTTACCTCAGAACCAAACAGCAATCCATGTAGAAAACCTTGTTAATTAAACATAAAAATAATAAAAAAAAAAAACACAACCAAAGTTGCTTTTTCTGGGGTCTGAACTTATGTTCTCTGATTTTGACCTCCCATCCACTAATGTGTATGAAAATCCCTCCACAATTAAACATTTCTTCATGGGTAATTATCTTGATTTTTATTACACAGGAATTCCTTTTCCTGTCAGATGGGATCTGGGTGAGTGAGTACAACTCATGGCACCTTTCGTTCCTTTAGCAGACACCATAGTGGATGATCTCACAGAATGGGCATTTCCCCTCAATGCACAGTTCAAAGCAGGATCACATCCCTACAGATTTCCTGCAGACTAGAAGAAGGTTGCATCTAATTCTTCCTCCAACTTAAGAACAGAGGCCAGACCATGCTACAATTTTTTTTGAAGGAAAGGATGACAAAGAAGAGAGAAATGCCCTTGTAATATGCAAATAAATAGCAAGTCGATGGTAGAAGGAAAGCACAAATTGCAAGAAGGCAGCAGAAAAATAACTGGTGCAGTAGCAGGCTTCTGCAGTAAGCATGCATTACCTTCTGCTTGGACATCTTCTGCTTGGTAAAATGCAGCAATCAACACATTAGCATAGTGCATACAACACTTTTTCTGCAGTTGGCCCCAGACAGCAAATCATCCTACAAAGCATCCGTGTCATCTCATTTAGCATGAGTGAGAGATCCTGCTGCTGAACAACCTGACCTCATGTCTGCTGAGGATACTCTTCACGTCCCCACGTCTCACACCACTGAGCATTGGCCATGGTCTCAGACCCCAGTGCCATGTGCCAGTGGCTCACTACATCGTCACGTTACCATTCTAACAGCAGAAATCAAACCAAAACCATGCGTCTTCTAGTCAAAACTCACCACTCCGCCCCAGGTCTCATGACCTTTGGAATCTCATATTCTAAAAGTGAGTCTCATACCTCTACTTGGAAAAAAAAAATCATTGAAGGAGAGTATCTCATCCTATACATCCATACAAAAAGAAAAATAGGGCATGTTTCCATTCAGCCCTCCAATGAGTTCCAAAGCACCACTGAAGAGAGTCATTGTGGAATGACTGCATTACAAAAGATCTTAAGACCTCTTCCAGACCATAAAATATGCAACAAAATGGAGTGCCAAATACCAGTCCTTTCCGTGGCCCAAGACAAAGAGCTGCCCTGCAAAGCATTAATCCTTGCAGCTGCCTTAAACTATTCATGTCTCTCTGCTTTACGTAAGGAGCCATTCCATTCTGGCTACTGCTCTGCTTGAAACAGAGATTTGCAGAGTCTTTAAAACAATTAAAGGTCATTCTGTAAACAGAGAACCCAAAGATTTGAATGGGAGACTGTGACTTCTCAGTAGAGAAGGCCAGACTATTTATTTTCAGTGGAGAGTAAATTTACCAAAAAATGTAGCTATGATTGCTTCTCCCTAACACACATCAACACCCCTTTCTTTTATCTAATAGTTTCACGGTTAGTACATTCACTTTGACTGTGAGGAACCCTGCCTCAATTTCCTCCTCTTCCTGGGGCCATCTGAATTCAAATCTCTCATCTTTCTGCCCCAAACCACCAGGCTATGGGACATAGCTGCCCGATTAAAGATCACAAAAATGAATCTGTCCTGAGGTCAGCTCTGCAAGAGCAAGGTGCT